CCATTAATAAGGTACATAGGCCATGTCCTTTCTTTTCTTTTTGGGCCCCAAGAAATGTCATACAAAAACAAATCCATAATGTTATTGGCAAGATTTTGAACTTGTATGACATCATTAATGAGTATTTGTCAAATCAAGTTTATTTTAGATATTATGTGAAGAAATTGTTGCTTACATGATCTTTAAACCAAGCTGGAAATTGTTCATTGATTTGAGTTTCTATTTCATTGTCTGTAACTTGAGGCTTCTCTTCCATTAATATTTGTACAAAGAGACTGCATAGAAAATAATGCATTGACCATACATGTATTTGGTATGAGCTTTAATCAATCACATTGTAGTATCACCTACTTTAAATAGGGTTGCACCTCATCACAATTCATTAAAACATATCTCGTGGCAGTATTTGCTTCTTCATCATCTAACCAACGGCTCTTATATTCCCCAAAAATATCTTCCTAGATAGTTAAATATAGAAATTGGTCGCAAATCTGATTCTCCACTATCATCATTTGTTATAGGTCTTGTTATTCTTGGGGGAACACCTAGCTTAAAGTAATGTGAGCAAAATATTATGGTCTCCTCAATTATATAAGCTTCACATATAGATGCTTCAACCCTGGCTTAATTTTCCCTTTTGTTTCAAAGTATAGAGAAACCTACATAGAGAGAAATGAAACTGAAGATTAATTATTCCACTAATCATATATTTACTCTCAATTCATATGAATAGATTTCATTACCTTTCAAATGGATACATCTATCGATAGTGGACAGGTCCTCCAACCTTAGCTTCACAAGGAAGGTGAACAGGAAAATGCTCCATTGAGTCAAAAAACCCTGAGGCAAAGACCTTCTCTAACTTGCATAATGTAATTACAATATTTTTCTCTAACAAATCTAGTTGAACTATAATCACTGTGGTGGAACAAAGTTGTTTAAAAAATTGACTAAGCTCCACTATAGGATTCAAGACAACCTCAGGTAAAGTAGCTAAGGCAATGGAAAGTAGGCGTTCCATAAAAACATGACAATCATGGTTCTTCATTCTGTACAACTTTGCTTCCTTCATGTCAACACATCAGGCCAGATTAGATGGATATCCATCTGGGAGCTTCAACTTCTTTACCCATTGACAAATTGTTTGTTTTTGTTCTAAATTCAAAGAATATTTTGCACTTGATTTCACCATTTTCCCTCTTCTTTCAACAAGTTCATCATCATTCCATCAACAATATTCTTTCAGGTCCATTCGAGCTTGTGTATTATCTTTTGTTTTCCCTTTTGTGTCCATGACAGTATGAAACAAATTGTCAAAAATATTTTTCTTAATGTGCATGACATCAAGATTATGCTGAATGAGATTACTTTTCCAATATGGCAATTCCCAAAATATATTTTGCTTTGTCTAATGATGTGCACCCTTGTAGCCTTCAATTAGTATGGTTTTTCGGTAATCAGTGACCTTGGGCAAATTTCGTTCTCTTTCCCAAACTTCCTATCCACTTAACCGAGTTGGAGGCATTGATTTCTCAACTCTGTTCTTGTAAAATGAGGTCTTATTTCTCCTAAATTGGTGATCATCAAAAAGGAATTGACGATGGCAATCAAAGAAAGATGTTTTCTACCATGCTTCAGTTGGAATGTTTTTGAATTCTCCATGCATATAGAACATGATAAGTTCCCTATTGTTGTCCAACCAGACAACATACCATAAGCAAGAAAATCATTGATTGTCCATAATAGTATGGCACCCATACAACATTTTTGTCTCAATGAGGCATCATATATTGATACCCCCTCATCCCATAATAATTTTAATTCATCTACTAGTGGTTGTAAATACACATCTATTTTTCCTTTGGGATTATAAGGACCAGGGACGGTCAATATCAAGAACATATATTCTCGTGTTATGCACAGTTTGGGTGGTAGATTATATGGAGTAATAATCATAGGACAATAAGAATATTGTCTCCTAGATTGCCCAAATGGCGTAAACCTATCAGCACATAACCCAAGTCTCACATTTCTTAGATCATATGCAAAATATGGGTATGTACTATCTAAAACCTTCCATGCTTGGCCATCAGAGGGATGAGAAAGGACATTGGAAACTCGATGATTCTCATAGTGCCATCTTATTTCTTTTGCTACTTTTTGAGAAGCAAACAATCTTTTAAATCTTAGAATGAGAGGTAAGAACCATAACTGCTTCCTTGCAACTTTCTTTTTTCTTCCATGAAACTTAGAGGAATATCTTTCCTCACAACAAAACTTACATTGAGTTGCACTATCATTATCTGTATAATATAACATACACCCCACAACAATCAATCTTCTTATAATAAAGACCTAACTTGGAGACCAACTTCTTTGTTTGGTACAAGTCTGTAGGCATATGATTGTCTTTAGGTTGTGTCCTCCTCATGAGTTGGGAAATTAGGTTGTACCCTTGTTATGACATGTTAGTTGCTACCTTAATACATAATAACTGCAAAGCTGCTGAAAGTTGAGATTCCTCTTCACAACCTTCCCGTAAAGGTTGTTGAGCAATATGTAGCATGTTGTAAAATGCTTGTGCATTAGGATTTGGTATCTCTTCAACACCTTCATTATAGTTATCTCTAAAACTTGGCCCAGCTGCGTCTATTACCAATGTCTCATATTGACTTGGTTGGTTATCAAGTACTCTATGTGAGGCATGTGAGACACCTTCTATTGGAGACATGGGTGAATGATATTCTATATTTCTCTCACCATGATTTGTCCATATATAATACTTTGGCATGAATCATATATTACCAATGTCTCATATTGACTTGGTTGGTTATCAAGTACTCTATGTGAGGCATGTGAGACACCTTCTATTGGAGACATGGGTGAATGATATTCTATATTTCTCTCACCATGATTTGTCCATATATAATACTTTGGCATGAATCATATATTACCAATGTCTCATATTGACTTGGTTGGTTATCAAGTACTCTATGTGAGGCATGTGAGGCACCTTCTATTGGAGACATGGGTGAATGATATTCTATATTTCTCTCACCATGATTTGTCCATATATAATACTTTGGCATGAATCCATATTTATAAATGTGTGTCTTCACCTCATCAATAATTAGATATGGCCTACATCTATATTTCACACATAGACACCTAAGCTTTTCTGATTGTTGAGTATAGGGTGATTGAAATGCATAAGCAATAAACTCCTTGACACCTTGCTCAAAATCTACTGTAACCCATTTAGTAGTAGGATCTATTCTATTGTCCATCCATCTTCAACTTTCAGGGACTTCCATTCTAGAGGAATCCTACGTAAATATTATATAAGAGTTGAGAGAAGACAAGTGATATATATTGTGAACAAATATATATAATTTTAAATTTTACTCCTCCAAAATTTAATAGAGAATCTAATTTAAGAGTTGATATAATCTTATATGTAAAACCTATTTCATATATTTATCAATTTTTTAAATTAATCCTATTGATGTTCCTTCAATAATAATCAAGTAGAAAGGAGAGAAAAGAAATTAAAGAAGATAATAAAAGTGTTTTAAAAACAAAACATATCATATTAATTAATTTAATTAACATAATTAATCAAGTCAAATTAATTAATTAGGTTAGGAGTATTATTTAACCGAAGGAAAAAATTCGAGACTTGTTGTATTGATAAAAAAGAAAAATTCAAAAAGCAACACACGTATCAAGGTTGTACGTAAACATAGCTATCAATATATCACGTAAAATTACTTAAGCTTTATGCATTTACATAAACAATCCTTTAGTTACAAAACCAATTGTTAATTTAACATTTTCCACTTCAAAAAAAAAAATGTCAACCACCATTCAAATCCAGACTGTCTTGTCAAATGGACAAAAGGGATTCGCTTCTTTTAATATATAAAATTTAATGCTATTTTGACCCCAATTACTAGATATCTTACCTACCATGATTTTTATTTTTGAGTGGTAAAATGCTTTAAAATATAGGGGCATTCTTGTAATTATAACATGATAGAGTATATTTAAAGAGGTGGGCCAAGGGTCAGCCCAGAGGTATAATTCTCACGAAAACAGATAAAATGATGGCGGGAAAAAGAAATTAAGAATATAATAAGTAAACAAGCAAGCTCACAATTGCATACAGAATCAATATCTAGAGCAGATTAACCAAAGAGGTACCTTTGAATACTTTCTGATTCGATTATAGAGCACTGGAGTAAATTGACAAAGAAATCAATAGTCTAAATCTTTAAGTGGAAAGCCCAAAAGACCTAAGTCAGCACTGTAAAGTCAATTGCAATAGTCTATCACTGATAAATGTATTTTAAGGATCTAGACATAGATCAAAACCAAAAAAATGACAAGAAAACATACTGTAGGGTTTCTAGTTCAAGATTAAATAGGTGTAAAATGGCAAGCTGACAATGCAAAGGAAAATTTTAATAAGGTATCTAAAACAGAATAAGTCTAGGTATATCCCCCTATTTCCATTCCATCATTTGTACCTTCACATCTTAATTCTACAAGTGACACCCTACAATAGTCACATAAATACTTTTCGCCCCAATACTTGTTTTCATTCTCATCTTCAAAGTCAAAATCAAGGGTATCTCTAACAAATAGGAAATTTTCTGAAGATGACATGTAGTTGGGCCAATGCAAATGAATATAATGTTACATTGACTTGGACTCCAATCAGTTTTTTCCATCTTAATGACATTGAAAAAAACATAAAAGAAAAAGAAGAAGAATAGTGAACGTGATTTTTTTAATTGAATCACAAGCTGCTTTGAACAACTCAGAGGCCCTTCATTTTTCTGGTTTATTAGGGAATACCTACAATTTGAATAGAAATGTAATTATATCTTGTCTAAATAAGAATTAGTATTTATAAACATGTACTTCTTGCATGGGAAACTGAAGGAAAAACTCTGTCTTCTTACTATCCAGGCTCTAGTCTCCCTCTTTTCTTGGAGCTTTCTCACAACAGGCAAGGCAAGTTGAATGTTTGCATCATTGTATTCATCTAAAGATCCCCTGAAATATTTAGGAATTGGAGAAAATTATGTTCAATGTAATGAAGCAAACATGCCTACAAAGGTGTAGAAATAAGAGCAATGTCTCGAAGCATAAAATCAACATCTAGCCATGAAAATTTATAGATAATTAGATATAAAAAAAAAACAGGGGGGAATGTCGAAACAATTGGTACAAGGAATCACAATGACATTAAAAGAAAAGATGAAAAAGAAACAACGGTAGATAAGGAGAAGTATATAGATCCACAATAACATGTAAGTTGTCATATACCACAAGTTTAAGCATCAATAATAGTATCAACATATAATGTGTGTGTGTTTAACCATATTCATATTTCAAAATGCAATTCAACGTGACTTTAGACAGTTCCTTTTGCAATTGTTCATCACTACAAGAGATGTTTAAAAAGCATTAATCTACCCAAAAAAAGTACTCAACAGAGTCAGTGATATATGAAACTATAATATATTCTATCCACAATTACTTACATTAATTTCACTCATTACCCATTTATACAGATTTTAAAAACCAGGTACACAATTCGCCAAAACCAGTATAGACATCTAATTTTAATACTCTAAACATAAACGGATGTTTAATATATGTTTTGTTAGAATGTTAGAAAAACATGCCTAAATAGCCTTGTCTAATACTATAGGAAAGTTCAAGACACTTTTAAGGTAATTTTTGGGAGAGCACTACAACTCAACAATTTGAAAATTTATAAATGGATAACCACTGAAATAGCATATCAGGAAGAAAAGACATTCAAAACACAAGCCATAATAGTGCGAAAGGGGGAGTCACGAATCTTTGGATAAGAAAATTTATAAAACACTAATCTGAAAGGAGTTTCATGATCTTGGTAGTACAACATTTTATAAATTTATAAGAAAATTTATAAAATGCTGTACTAGTCAGACATTATTATTCTTCCTCAAACCCTTTGACTTCTCAACAAGAACGCTAACCTTACTCTTATAAAAAAATGTTTGATCCTCACCTTTGATAAATTCAGCATCAAGAGCTTACCTTGTGATAGATCCTAACCTTGTGATAAATTCAGCCTCTAATGTCACAATCTAAAGCCTGCAAGCAAAATCCAACTGAATAATTTTGTAACCAGCACCTATTCATTTCAAGAGAAAGAGAGGGATTGGGAGTTGGGATAAGGAAGAAAAAGTCTGAAAAAGAAAAGGACTGGGACAAAAAAGAGAGGAAAGGCCAAGAGCATCATCAACTAACCGAGATTAAGGGCAGACAACATCGATTGTTGAGCTTGAGCAGACAGAGACGTGTTGAGAGGACTGGGTCTACGATTGGAATAGCACCAAAAGCCACCATCGACGATGCAAGACCAAGAACCAGGGCAAAGTGAGGGAAAAGGGAGTGGAGTACTATTAATGCGAATCTGAGAAGAGAGGCAGAGAGTGCGATAGTGAGAAATTGAGAGTATTGAGTTGGGGCTAGGGTTTGAAGTTTAGAATACCATGGGAGTATGAGGGAAAAGGAAAATCAAATGTTAAATTTTAGAGTAAAAGATATTGACTACCCCTCTGTTTTACTTAAATTATAGAAACCTCCCTTCTATTTTGAAAATATATATAAACTTCTCTCCAAATTAAAATGTATCTTACACAAACCTCCCTTATACTTTTAAGATTCAATTTCCATCCATCCATCCATCCAACTGCTAGTTAACTGTTAAGTTTGACTTTTAAATTTTTATTTTGACCAAAATATCTCTCTTTAACATAAATGTTACTTAAACATTTAAATAAAATTTTTTTTGATACAACAAAAAATAATTATAATACATGTATTTTCACAATTTTTAATATGCTATAAAGTTTTTAATTTCAATTATATTATAGAATTATATAATTTTAGTTCCTCATGAAATATTGAAACTTAAGTTTTTTTTAAATGGCTAGAAAATATTTTGAATGCTTATTTTCTTATCACATAGTATAAATTATGCGAGTTTGGAAACTTACATAAATCATTTAAATTTATGTTTGCATTAACTAAATTACTTAATTTTTTGACCCAATACGATAAAAACATTAAACAAACAACAATTATCAAAAATAAAAAAATAAAACTAAGGTAAAGGAGAAAATCTTAAATTCTTTGATATAGTTTTAACTAAGATTTTGGGATTTAGTATTATGAAGGATAATTTAGCAAACAGAAAGTATTTCAATATAAATTTGAAATAAAATTTTTTTGAAATATTCTTAACGAAGTTAACAATTTGGATCTAAGTGTATGTTTTCAAAATAGAGGGGAGGTCTGTATAATTAAGACAAAATACAAGGGAGATTGGAGTATTTTGCTCTAAATTTTACTTCCCTCTTTTTTTTCTTTCGGCAGAAACCTTCCCTCCTTTTTTTTTAATCACCAAATTTTCCCTCAAAGCATATAACAATTAGATAAAAAAGGCATAGCCAATTACCTAAATAGCAATAATACTATATAAAATAATAATAATAACAACATAAGAAAAGGAAAATCTTATAAATGATAGAAACATATATTAGTTATTTAATTTATACCTAACTTTTACGTTAACTTCAAGGAAATTCAATACATGTTAACATCTAATCAAATTTTTCTAATTATTATCTTAGATATATTTTAGAATCTCTAATTAAATTTCTAACTATTTTTAATTTCAAGATAAAAAAATTCAAAATATTTCTAATTATTGTCTTAGAAATTCAAGATATTGATTCTCCTACATTACAATCCCTTTATTTATCTTAAATATACATAAAATATTCCTAATTATCATCTTAGAAATTCAAGATATATACACACATATGCATAATTTTCACATTTAATCAGATTTTTCTAATTATTGTATGCTCTATCATCCCTAATCAATTTTTTAAGTAGTCTCTAACTTCAAGATAACTATAAAGAATTTCAAAATACTTCTAATTATTGTCTTAGAAATTTAAGATAATGATTCTCTTTTTTATACTTTACCATCCCTGTATTTATCTTAAATATACATAGAATATTTCTAATTATTATCTTAGAAATTCAAGACATATACACAAATACATGCATAATTTTTACATTTAATCATATTTTTCTAATTATTGTATACTCTGTCGTCCCTAATCAATTTTCTAAGTAGTCTCTGACTTCAAGATAACTGTAAAGAATTTCAAAATATTTCTAATTATTGTCTTAGAAATTTAAGATAATGATTCTCTGTCTTATACTTTACCATCCCTTTCTTTATCTTAAATATACATAACATATTTTTAATTATTGTCTTAGAAATTCAAGACTTATACACAAATGTATGCATAATTTTTACATTTAATCAGATTTTTCTAATTATTAAATACTCTGTCGTCCCTAATCAATTTTCTAAGTAGTCCTTAACTTCAAGATAACTATAAAGAATTTCAAAATATTTCTAATTATTGTCTTAGAAATTTAAGATAATGATTCTCTGTTTTATACTTTACCATCCCTTTATTTATCTTAACTATACACAAAATATTTCTAATTATTGTCTTAGAAATTCAAGACTTATACACAAATGTATGCATAATATTTACACTTTATCAGATTTTTCTAATTATTGTATACTCTGTCATCCCTGATCAATTTTCTAAGTAGTCTCTAACTTCAAGATAACTGTAAAGAATTTCAAAATATTTCTAATTATTATCTTAGAAATTCAAGATATTAATTCTCTTTTTTATACTTTATCATCCCTTTATTTATCTTAAATATACATAAAATATTTGTAATTATTGTATTAGAAATTCAAGACTTATACACAGATGTATGCATAATATTTACACTTAATCAGATTTTTCTAATTATTATATACTTTGTCATCCCTAATCAATTTTCTAATTAGGTTCTAATTTCAAGATAATTAAAATATTTCTAATTATTATCTCAGAAATTCAAATAATGATTCTCTTTCTATACTTTATCATCCCTTTAAATTACTTATCTTAGATATACATATTTATAATATACTATTACTCCAGCACACAAATGAGAATAGGGATATATGTACATACAGATATGTTATTTATTATATACAATACTCTGGGACAATTTGAGTGCTTCTGTTAAATAAGCTAACCCAACCTACTAGATACATCAAGCATATAGGCAAATTGTACTAGGTTGACTTGGCTATTGTGTTTAGTGTTTAGTCCTAAAGCATGTGACACTATTATTGATTCAATAAAAACAAGCTAATAATTAAATATGTTGTTAAATAAGTTATCAATTACATAAAAGTTCAACATTTCTTTACATTTTCCACACATCTCTCATTGTATTTAACTAACTAAAACTTACTTCACATCAACCCAACAAAACAGATATTTATGTCGTAACAAGATAATATAATCATATCAAATTCTTAGGAACTATATTCATATATTTTAATTTTACTTCATCAATTCAAAAAAAAAATTCACTTTATAAACTTGCTCCAACAATGAGATTAATTATCCTTCATTTTCTTATAAAAAAACATGTATCAATCATCATATTTTTATATATTACATAAATTATTCAAATATTATAAGCAAATTAAAAATTACATAAATTTTGCTGCCAAAAAAAATTTCATAAATTTTGCTAGCAAAAAAAAATTCATAGATTTTGCATTAGTGACGAAATTAGCAACAAATTTCTGACGGAATTTAACCACGGAAATTTTTTTCGTCAGAAATTCCATCACAAAATTGGAATAGGTTAACCTCACCTGACAAATTGTTGACAGATTTGCAACGGAATTTCTATCGCTAAATTTTCTGATGGAATTGTGACGGACTTGCGACAGAATTTAGCAAGGGAAATATTCCGTCACAAATTCCGTCATATTTGTCATTTAGTGACGGAATATGTGACAAAATATTTTCGTCGCTAAATTCTATTGCAAGTCTGTCAGAAAATTTAGCCATGACAATTTTTTCCGTCAGAAATTTCGTCGCAAATTTGGAATAGGTTAACCTCACCTTTTCTTCAAATTACCTAAGGATTTATGACAGCTTTGTGACAAATTTCCCGCTGAATTGCAATAGAATTTCTATCGCTAAATTTTCTGACAAAATTGTGACGGAATTTAGTGACAGAAATATTCCCTCACAAATTTCGTTAGTATTTGTCATTTAGCGACAGAATTTGCGATGGAATATTTCTGTCGATAAATTACGTTGCAAGTCCATCACAAGTCTGTCAGAAAATTTAGTGACGGAATTTCCATTGCAATTCTGTTAGAAATTAGCGACGGAATTTGTTTTTGTCACAAATTCTGTCGCTAATCCACTATTTCTTTGTAGTGTGTTATTCCTATATATATACATGTAATCGATCTCAGAAATATATACAAAAATGAATGATTCCGCTAGTTTCAAGATTACCTTTACAAGATCTTTTCTCTTAACACTCTCCTTAAGCTATTGTATTTGTGTTTCCTATGGAATAGTCATTCATGGAAAAGAAATTCAAATTCAAATACAAGCAGTGGATGGTTATTAAGCTAAACCTTTATAACTTATAGGTGATAGAGACTCCCCTATTACTTTTACAATTCCAAAACTCTCTTTCTTTGGTGGGGACTCCTTTGGTTGAGGACGTGCAACTTTGACTTGTACCACAATAGAAATTATAATAGATCAATATTTTCATTTTTAAGATTTTACTAGGACAAAATAATTCCAATAGACTGCCTACTCTTCTAGTATACACTTTTGGTCATGTTATAAGCCCTCTACGCTTTTGTATCTTCCTCATCTAGTGCTCTTTTCCTTCTGGTGATGGAAAGGGTCTATCGTTAAGAGTCTTTGTAAGCATAATAGAACCTCTCTTTTTTCACTTATCCTTGCTTCTTTTTTTTCCCCCAACATATCCATTAGGTGACAGAATGGCATCTCCTCTTTCAAGCATATGCTTGCATTGATCCACATCCATGACATCAACCTACTCCGTTAGTGGCTGTGTTAGCTCTGATTCAACCTACTCCATTGCTATCCAAGTTTGGCGCTGGATCTTATTTCATGCATCCATGACATCAATGGACAGTATCCCTTTCCATGCATCCCAGTAATCTTTTATTCCTGGTCCTGATACATAAAATAGAGAAGTGAGACTGAATTATTATATAAAACAAGCCTACATTCCAAAACAAGAATGAAAGACTTGAATCTGATTTGTATAGTAAATAGAAAAAGACTAACATAGACAAAGTAATTTTCAGACAAGAGCAAAGCTTACCTTTTGCTAATTCACATCTTAATAAACTACATTTATTCCTCATGCTCCATCCAGTTCTCCATCTCTCTAGATTGCATTTCAGAGAGATGAAACTACAACGGACAAACATAAGGCCTATTGTAAAGACCTAGGTTCAACTTGAACATTGGTAGTATTGCCAATCCCATTTTGTCTTGTTCTTGATAGGAGATTGGCATT